CCTTTGGAGTTACGCTGTTCTGGTGGTGTATGGTTAATAAATTTTGGCCTGTACCACAGTTTCACTGTGAAATGGCAAATATTTCAAGAAGAGTTAAAATGTCTACATTTTTTCCTTTTTATTGAATTTATTGGGGTGACATTTGTTAATAAAACTGCGTAGGTTTCAGGTGTACAGTTCTGTAACACGTCATCTGTATATGGTACATTCACCACCCCGAGTCAAGTCTCCTTCCATCACCATTTATCCCCCCATACCCTCATCTACCTGTTCTGCTCTTCTGCTTCTTTTTTTTGCCTGTATTTTCTCCGTTCAGACCCACCATATCCACGTTGGGTTGAAACAGGGATGTCCTTTTTCTCTCTCTTGGAATGACTACCTCATACGATTTCCTTTAGATTTTCCGAAGCTTTGTGAATTAACCAGGGAAGGAAAAGCTAAAGCAGAAAGTGATTAAAAAAAAAACAAACACCAACCTGCCAGGGATAACCACTTAGAGCATACAAGGTCTGCCTCCTCACTAGACCAGAAATACCAGTTTAGACATTTTGGAGAGTCCAAAATTGTAGAAAATGCTCCAGTGATTTGAGGATCTCACAAGAGCAATGTCTTTCAGATCAGTGAGGCACTGTATGGCTAAGGGATCTCTGACACACTGGGAAATAAAATCAGATGTCTTCCTCTCTGTTAGGTTTGGCTCCTGCATACACCTCTTCCAGGTGAGACTGGAAAATAGACAAGTATTTTACACACTCCATCACTTTCACGTGGTTACCTGACATGTGCATTTTGCTCGCTTGAACATTACCTTGAATTAATAGTTGCTGTTTTTGGCCAGTGTCTACGTATTTGTGTCATCTGTCATATGTTCATGCAGACCCAGGATGAAGCCAAGTGATGACTGAATAAATGGCCCAGTCTTCCTGCGGGAAAGTGGGGGCACTTTATCAGAGAGACTTTGTGGATAGGGGTGGAAAGTTAGCATTTAAGCTGAAATGCTTTTTGTCCTTTGTTTCTCCTGGTTGAATTTTATTGTTTTCCTAATGTGCACATCTCTTGGTTTACCTTATTTGAGAGTGCTTCCTCTCTAGGTTTGGTTCAGCCTACAGTTTTAGAAACAGTAACTGTAAGGATAGCACTATGGCTTATCTCACAAAAGCAAACAAAAAAATGTGTCCTGTGACTGTCACAACCAAACAAGATGATAATAACTTTGAGAGTGGTTTTCTAGAAAAAAGGTGCGATATCACCTCCCTTGCTTGTTCCACCCGTGTTTTTTTCTTTTTTTTAATCCTCACCTGAGGACTTTTTTTTCCCCCATTGTACTTTAAAGAGAGAGGAAGGGAGAGAGAAAAACATCAAGTCAGTTGCCTCCTGTATGTGCCCACGATGGGGATTGAACCTGCATTCTAGGTATGTGCCCTGACCAGGAATCGATGCTCCAACCAACCGAGCCACACCGGCCAGGGCTGACCCCTCTCTTTAAGATTAATACTTTATTTCTTGGCATGCTGACCCATTCTAGGTGCACTCCCCTTGTGCAGCCTTCTGAGATCTGCTGCCTGAGTGGATTCCTTACCACGGTGATTTTTGTTTTGTTTGACAGCCTGCGTATGGAACCTTACATTGTTTGTTTGTTTTTCATATTTTCTAAGTGAAATTACAAAGTCTTTGAGTAAAAAGACATTGTCCCCTTTTTATTTCCCTCTCTCTGTTTCCTTCAGCCTTGGCTCCATCTTGTTCCAAATGTACTTGAATTTCCCCCTACGCCCCCCTGCCTCGAGTTGCATGAAAGCCCGAGTGATGCCTGCCGGAGCTGATGTGGGGGAGAGTGGGTGGGGACCTAAGCGGCGAGGAGCCTGAGGAATTGTGTCCGGCCTAGCAAGGCTGATCCAGGTCAGAGGTTAAAAGGAACAAAGTGAAAATCACTTGTGTCATTCCCTGGGGGACTTGTCAGAACACAGGAGCCAAAGCAAAAGTGGGAGGTTCCCAAACCAGCACCCCCACTTGGCCAGCCTTGCAGAGGGATTCTACAGGTGGTCACCTCGCCTCCCTTGAGCCGTTGCTCCCCCGGGGTGCCTGTCTCAGAGCCGTTCGATTTCATCACCAGCTCCATCTGAAATTTGAGGTTTATTTACTTGGTTTCTGTCTCAGGGTTCTCCACCAACACCCCCCTGAACCCCAGGTCTGCTGATTTACTAAAAACGCTCACAGGACCCAGCCTATACAGTCCGCCCTCCATATCTGCTGGTTTGGGCATCTGTGGATTTAACCAACTGCAGATCAAAAATGTGCAGGGAAAAAACTCCTGAAAGTTGATCCCTAAACAATACTGATAACAATGATTTATGTAGCGTTTACATTGTATTAGGTATAATGAGTAACCTATGGACCATTTAAAGTATGCTGGAGGATGTGCATAGGTTCCAGGCAATTGCTACCTCATTTTACAAAAGGGACTTGAGCATCTGTGGATTTTGGTAGCCACCGGGGTCTGGGAACCAATCCCCTCATGGAGACCCAACAAAGACTGTAGTCATGCTCATGGCTATGATTTGTTACAGCAAAAGGATACAAAGCAAAATCAGCAAAGGGGAAAGGCACTTGGGATACATACTGGAGGCAACCAGGCTCAAGCTTCCAGAGTCCTCTTCCAGTGGAGTGACGCAGGGCACACTTAATTCCTCCAGCAACAGGCTGTGACAGCACGTGCGAAGTGTTGTGTACCAGGGACACTCATGACACACCCGGAGCCCCGCGCTTTTACTGGAGTTGCTCACAGAAGCACCCTCTGCCTCGCAAGTGCCGGAATCCCTGCCTCTCAGAGGGGAAGCAGGTGTTCAGCGTAAACCGCTTGCACAGAGTCCAGATGCAGCAGGCCATTCTTACCAGGGGACGGTTGGGATCCCTCCCCAAACCTGAGTTGCCAGATGCCAGCCAAGGGCATAAACAGTCTCAGGCATGCTGTCTTGTCTTTCCAGCACAGTTTCTAGAGTTGCTCTTTTTACTTTAAATTTATTGAATAGGAGGTTCACATTTGTGCCCAGCAATTGAGGTGTTGGCTAGATGGGCCTTGGTCTGTCATCACTTAGGGAGAACCATGGTCTGGGTCGATGGGTGTTTTGCTTTCTGGGCATGGTTGTAGTTTGATGGCGCTGCCTGCCTGCCTGCAGCCCGGGTTTCTGCTCATAAGGCAACTGAACTGCCTGCCTCTGTCCATTCGTCAGGATGACTTATTCCTGCCGCACCCCTCGCCCTGCTGGGGTGATCAGACTCTCTGGTCCGGGCATTGCTTCCTTTTCCTTTTCGTGGTTCCTGCGTGGGTTTGGCTCCACTCCTCTCCAGGTGCCCCCAGGCACAGACTTAGAGCTTTCTGGGGAGAATGGCGGGGAGTTGTAATTAACTTCCATTTAAAACCTGTCTTACTCTTTTTAAAAGTGTTCTTTGGAAATCTTTGCAATCTGAACCTCCTTGTTGTTGAGTTTTGCTCTTCCTTTTCTTTTCTTTTCTTTTTTTTTTTTTTGTTTATTCCTTTGAGTTTTAGTTGCCTGGTTTCACAAATCTTACCTTTAATGGTGGTTTAGAATTACATACAGTTGATGCTCGAACAATGTGGGGGTTAGAGGCACTGACCCCTGGCACAATCAAAGATCCACAGGCAACTTTTGAGTCCCCCAAAGCCTAACTGCTAACAGCCCACTGTTGACTGTGAGCCTTCCCAATAAAACAACCAATTGACACCTATTTTGTATGTTAGATATACTATATACTGTATTCGTATAATAAATAAAGTGTTAAGGAAATCATAAGGAGGAGAAAATACATTTGCTGTATTTATTGGAAAAAATCCACATGTAAGTGGACCTGTGCAGTTCAAACTCATGTTGTTCAAGGGTCAACTGTACTTTTCAGGGTCGTCTCCGGGCAGCTTCGTTCTGGCTGATGTGCCCCTGCCCTGCGCACCTGTGTGCTGCAGGGCCTTCTCAGACCCAGGGAGGGCACTGCAGTGTCTGGCCTCTTGTGTCATTTATGTTTGTATCAGGCCACATGTGTCTCTCCTTATGGTTTGAATTGATTCCCTTTTCCACCTGTCTCTAATGGGACCAGATCTATTTTTAGCCACATCAGCTATTCCACAGTCCTGGCCAAGACTATGGGTGGACTGTGATGACATAGGGATTGACGTGTCACTGAGGGTGGCTAACCTAGGCTGGTTACATTCAAACGTGCGGCAGCTTCACTACACGTGCCCTCAGGGTTCAGCCAGGTGAGTATGGGGAAGGTGGGGAATTGCTCTCCCAAGTTGGCTGATCACCAGAGGCCTCCTTTCATGGGAGTCTTATCATTACTAACCCTTGGGCACACGAGGGTTTTTCTGAGCCGTTTACCGCGTGGTGATCGAAGGGCTGCAGAAGAGAAAGGCCAAGATGCAGCACTGTGCTGGAGGCTCCAGCCCGGGGTGGGGGTGGGGGTGGGGGTGGGGGGGGCGGCCGGGTGCCCTCTGCCAGCCAGCTGCTGAGCACGGGGAGCGTGGCTAGTGCCGCCGAGGAACTAAATTTAAAAAGAAATTTTCAATTACGGTTTACTTTCAATATTATTTTGTATTAGTTTCAGGTGTTGAGCATGGTGACTAGATAATCGTAGACTGTATAGAGGAACTAAGTTTTTAATTTTACTTAATTTCAATTAATTTGAGTAGCCACATGTTGCTAGTGGCTTTCATGCTGTAAGGGGTAGTACAGGAAATAGTTACAGTGTAGCCTTCAGAACTTTGATTTAGACCACAGGTTTTGAGCATTTGTCATCATTCACGTAAAGGGTTTAGAATAGTGCCTGGTGAGAGCTGTGTGTTTAGCAAAAACTGTGGGTCTAGTTAACGTTGGCTTATGTTTACTTAATATGTTGAATAGAATGGTGGTAAAGTTCACGTGGAATATGAAACTTATTTTTAACATTTATATATTTTTTTTCTAAACAAAATTATTCTTTTTTTGCTTTAGGTTGCTGCAGCAACTGGCCACACAGTCGTGTTGGTAGACAAGACAGAGGACATCCTGGCAAAATCCATAAAGGGAATTGAGGAAAGCCTTAGGAAAATAGCCAAGAAGAAGTTTGCGGAAAATCCCAAGGTAGTTTCTTGTTATTGGTGTCTCCAAGACGAGTCCCCTGACCACCTCACATTCTTGGCGGGTGGCCGGGGGAAAAAGGGAGGTGCTGACCTTTGTTTAAATTTGTTTATGTAAAGCTCATTTCTCCATAACTTTAGACCATTTTAATAACATAGTCACTAAACATACCAGGGACACTGGTTAGAAAACAGGAGAAGTAAGTAATCACATTGTTGGGTAGATTTGAGGTTGAGGAGAAAGTTTCTGTGGGTAGTGAACTCATTCTGTCCACTGAGAGTTTGAGATTGAATGACACCTATTTTGTTATAAGGTTGGATGAGGGAGAAACAGGAAGATAATTTTTGTGCTTGCAAGTTAAAAAGAGAATGATACAATAAAAAATGTACTTAGCTAGAACTCTCAGTTGCTTAGGTAATGCCTTTTGCCTGTTGTGTATGAGCTGACTAGAAAAGACAGCACAGAGTGAGGCCTTGTCGCTTTCCGCAGCAGAAGGGGTGCAAGAAGCCGAGGAACCCCCAGAAGTGGGAACTCTGGCTTGCTGGCTCTGTTTCATTGGACCTTCACAAATAATTAGAAATACTGCAAAAGCCACCCCAGTGAATTTTGGTTTACCTCTGTCAGCTTGTTACAGTTGCTTAAGATTGGTTGCCTTGGGGCTTGAATGGAAATCCTCCCCAGACACAGGCGGAGAAGAGTGCAGGTAGGGCTTCTGTTGTTTTTCATCTGAGGTATCCACAGGGATGTGTCTAGTTACCCTGAAAAATTTTTTTATTGTGGTAAAATATATATGCAATAAAATTTGCCACCTTAACCATTTTACCTCAGCGACTTTAATTACATTCACACCATTGTACAACTATCACTGTTGTTCCCAAAACTTTTTCACCTTTCCAAACAAAAACTGTACCCATTAAACAATCATTCTCCTTTCCCTTCTCCCCCGAGTCTTTGTTAACCTCTAATCTTTCTGTCTCTCTGTATTTGCCTATTCTAGGGACTTAATGTAAGTGAAATCATACAATATTTATCCTTTTTTTGACTGATTTCTTTCATGTGGTGTAATTCTTCAGACTCATCCATGAACTTCATTCCTTTGTATGACTGAATAATATTCCATAGGATATGTATACCACATTTTGCTTATCCATTAACCTATCGGTGGGTACTTGCCTGTTTCCACCTTTTGGCTGTTGAGAATAATGCTGCAGTGAATACTGGTATACTATCTGTTCAAATCCCTTTTTCAATCCTTTCAGTTATGTACCTAGAGGTAGAACTGCTAGGTTCTGTGGAAGTCCTATGTTTGTTTTTGTGAGGAACCACCAAACTGTTTTCCATAGTGGTGCACTATTTTACCTCCCCACCAACAGTGTGCAAAGGTTCCAGATACTCTACATCCTGGCCAACACTTGTTATTTTCTGGGTTTTTGTTTTTTTTTTAATATTTGCTGGTTTGTTTTTCATAAAAGCCATCATAGGAGGTGTGAAAGTGATATTCCATGTTCTGGGTTTGTATTTTCTTAATATCTAGTCACTGTTTAAAAATCAGAGAGGGACAGGGATAGATACAGTTTTCACAGTGAGTCTGAACCCAGGGACAAAACCTGCATTTTCCGCATGTTTGCTCTGCAGGCTTCTGCAGACTCTCCCCCTGAGCGGAGACTGGGCCCTGTCCTGAGTGTGATTGGTGCCCCTGCGCCCAAGTGCCTGAGCTCCTGGGGAGTCACTGCTCAGGAACCGAGTCTCCTGGTGTTTCCCACCTCTGCCAGGCACGTGCCTTGCAAAGGGAGGTTTTGCCTCCAGCCTGGCTGGCTGGCATGTTATAGTCACCCAGCTCTGCACTGACCAGTGCAGTAGAGCTGGCTCCACGTAGCTGCTGAGCACTTAACATGTGGCTAGGCCAAACTGAGTTATGCTGAAAGTTTAAAATAGACACCAGATTTCAATGACTCAATAGAAAAAAATATAAAACATCTAAATTTTAAAAATATTGATTACAGTTTGAAATGATGTCTTATATGGGGTTCAGTAAAACTTCTACCTGTTTTCTCTTTTTCAAACATGGTCACATAAATATTTAAAAATTATCTGTCATCTCACATTCTATTTCTGTTGAACAGCTCTGGGTAGTTGGCTCTTTCGTGCTGATTTGGGAGCCTGTGCTGATTATGACCCTTTTGGTGCCCAGTGGGCAAATTACATCTTGAACCCAAATGGCAGTTGCTAGAGGAATTGTCCGTTTCTGCCCTGAGGCTGTTCGTGGGGACCTGAAGTCACAATGAGGAAAAGATAGGACCTGAAGCCCTTTGAGAACAGAGGCTGTGCCTGGCATGTTTTTGAAACATCAGTTGCTGGCACGTGATGGGCAATGACTGTGTGATGAATGGCTGCTGAGTTTGGCTTTCTTACCCTCTCTGTTGCCCTTACTCGGCTCTTCCCTCCTGTGAGGGGGGACTGGCCAGCACCACCTTCCAGACTAACGGATGGTCCTGAGCTAAGTGTCCACTCTTTTCTGGGAGGACAAATTACAGGCTCCATGGAACAGCACACAGCAGTCTGCCACTCTGGCAACAGCTACAGCAGGCCAATACCAGTGCTGCCAACAGACAGTTTAGTAACAGGAGCAGATCTGGCCAAAAGCTTGGAACATTACGCCCTCTACCTGACAGTAACAGTTGACCAACAGTTGGGATTGCTCACAGGCTGAGTTCTTCCCTTGGTGTGTAAAGTACATGGAGATGCTGTTGTCTCTAAGCAGAAAAACAGGGAGTTTAACTTCTCAGAATTGCAGGTTGCATTCAAGTTGCGTGTGGGTGTGTGGGCCTATTCTTACCCTCCTCTTTCTTTCTGCCCGAACAGCAAATTTCACACACCATTGTCTGGTGAGTTCAGTGAATGTTGTTGTTCTTCTCTAATAGGCAGGCGAAGAATTTGTGGGGAAGACCCTGAGCAGCATCTCGACCAACACGGATGCAGCGTCTGTCGTCCATAGCACGGACCTGGTGGTGGAGGCCATTGTGGAGAATCTGAAGGTGAAGACTGAGCTGTTCAAGAGGCTGGACAAATTTGCCGCTGAGTACGTGGCCTGTGACATTCTTGTTGGGTCTGAGGGCTCCTTCCCGGGCTCAGGCTTTGCTCCCAGGAAGGCATCTTCTGATGTGAAGCCCATTTCCCCTTCCCTAGCCTGCAGCTCTTTGCCTTGTTCTCTGTCCCCTACTCCCAGTTTGCTCCCTGACTTGAGCTGTCCTGATCTGATCTTGGTCCCCATGCCAGGGTGGGATTCCCCGCAGTCAGTGGAGGGTCCATCCAGGGAAAGCCCTCTGTCTCTCGCAGCATCTGGGCCACAGGCCTTTCCAGGCCGGAGGATGGAAGGAGCTTGACCCAGTCCTTCAGTGTCTGCTGAGGAACTTCAGAGTAGTTTCATGTGTCCCCTTTATTTGGGGACAGTATAGGTATCGGGGATCTTTTCTCATTACCTTCCATAACAGGCAGTAGTTTATAGTATTTCCTCCATTGACTGACTTTGCAAACTAGAATTTTAAAACTTTAAGTCATTTTTTTTAAAAGGAAAAGCTCTTCCTCTACCAATTGTTTTTTTTAAGATTTTATTTATTTACTTTTAGAGAGAGAGGAAGGGAGGAAGAAAGAGAGAGAGAGATACATTGATAGGTTGCCTCTTGCACACGCCCAGCTGGGGACCTGGCCCTCAACCCAGACATGTGCCCTGACTGGGAATTGAATTGGAGACCTTTTGGTTCGCAGGCTGGCACTCAGTCCCCCAAGCCACACCAGCCAGAGCACGTCGTACCTAGCTTTTAAACTGGCATACTTGGAAGTTGTTTGAGGAAAGTGGGCATTACAGTGCCCTAAAAGGGAAGTGGTGTCCTGAGCTGAGGACACATGGGATCTTCCCTCTGGCTCTAGTCCAGCCACCTACCCACACTGGCTGGCTTCTCCTCTCACTTCACTCTCCTCTCCTCTTTCCCAATTACTTATTTCTTCTCCTGTCCCTTCTGCCCCTCCTCCCACTTGCCCTTGATTTCAGGCAGATTGCAGTATTGCTTTTGGGTAAGCAGGAATCCCCAAAAGTGGTCAGTAAGGGGCTGATCTTCCTGTACAGTGATGAGGCCTTGGCAGTCCTAATTTAGAATCAGGCTGTGTTGTGTGTTCTCATCCACAAGGTGGCGCTGTAGGAAAGCCTAGAAGTCTTGCCTGTTTAAAGATTTGCCTGTCGTGTATTTGGCACCCCACTTTAGTGTGGTCTTTAAAATTAAATTCAGTTAAAGTCAGTGTGTATTTTTAAAAATATTTTATATACACAAGGGAAGATGGTGCCGCTTTTTTTAGGAGTAGAATGCCTTGAACTACATTTATCATGTGTATACACATATCTTTTCTTCCCCAGTTCTACTAGTATAACCTTTAAAGCTGCTTTTGGACCAGGTGGTTTTCTTCTCTTTTCATTTGAGCTCCATTCAGTGGATAAGTAAAGCTTTTCACTTGAGGGGGAAAGAGCTTCGTTTATGTTTCTCACCTGATGTTTCTAGTTGAGAATTCAGGTGTTTCTTTACAATTTTTCGCGTGAGTGTCTGATGCATCCTTCTTTCTTTCGTTAGTCTTTGATCACTTAGAGTTTTATCTTGTGACTGAGGTTGGTTATGTAGCTACCTCCTTTCTTTCTTCACATACCATGAATATTAACTAATACAAGTAGAGGGGAGAAATTTTGCTCCATAAAATTAAGGAAAGATTGGCAAAGATTAAATACACCTTTGGAATAGGTAACTTTTAAATTACTCAGTATAAAACTTTAAAATTAAATGAACCAGGTCATTTGATTTCAGCTCTTGTAGGAAGAAGTGTTTTTTCTCTGACTCCCGCCGGGGGTCAGGGCGGCAGAGCTGGGCAGTAAGCAGCCGCCTTGCGCGTCGCACCTGAAGGTAGTCCTGTGTCCAAGCATGGGACCCATTCCAGTACTTACCATCTTTCTCTCCACAGACACACAGTCTTTGCCAGCAACACTTCCTCTTTGCAGATCACAGATATAGCCAACGCTACCACCAGACAGGACCGATTCGCCGGGCTCCATTTCTTCAACCCAGTGCCCTTGATGAAGCTCGTGGAGGTCAGTGGGTGCCTGCTCGTGCGTGTCTGCCTGCTTTGTCCGCTCGTGGTCCTGCTGCTGTGATTCGCATCTGCCCTGCCACCAGGAATTACACCAGATGGGGTTTAATGGGAGGAAGGTTGTCGCTGTGCTGTGGTTATCGGGCCTTAGCCTATCCTTTCAGAACCGAAGGCAGGCCCCTGTGCTTTGTTTCTTCAGAGCCCTATGTTCTGAGCTGTGGTGTCCAGGGGGGCTGTTAACTTTGTGGAATGTCATTTACTTGTTTGTGCACTAGCTGAGGGGCGGTGCAGAGAGAGGCGTCGGACTGGGAAGGCGGCACTGAAGACCACTGGCTTGATGAGACTCAGGGGAGAGCCTCACATGTTCACATGGTCTCCTTGAGGTCAGTTTGCTCCAGGCTGTAAGTGGAATTCTTATTAAACAGCCTGGTGTTACACAGGAGCCACTAAACCACCTCATCCGCCATTCTTGGGGTGAATTTGGTGCCATTCAATAGGGCCTCAGTATTGTCCCCAGATGAGGCACATCTCTTAGATGTTGTGATCCGAGCTATTTAAAGAGCTGCTGATAACCTTGGACCTCCTGACCACAAAGCTGGAGGCGGAAGGGAGTGGCCAGGGAGGGCTGCCCGCCCCCCCAGCCTTCCTGGTGGGGCTGCTCTACCTGGTTGGAGACTTGGGGACGAGGGAGATGGAGTCACAATAGACAATTTGCACCTGAAATGTGGCAACTTGCCTTTTACAGGGGACTAATTACAAGGTCTGAGGAGCAGCTGCTATTAAAGTAGCATTTATTGTGAGGTTGAGGGTTTATTGCCCTGCGAAGTGTGGGGGACGAGCAGCCGCGGAGCCCTCAGGCCTCCCTGCGAGGGTGTCTGGGGATCTGTTCCTCCACTGCTGCCTTCTCCAGGCCCCTTCCTTCCTTCCTTTACTCCCATAGCAGTAGCTCTTAGGTTAATGATGACTGCATGTTCCTGTCCAAGGACAACTCTGACCCGTCCTGTGATAGAAATCTCTCTGTTCTACTATTGCTCCCCAGTTTCTTCCAATTTACCTCCTTCCCTAGGGCTGTTTTTGAAGAAGTAGAAGAATGAAGGTGGGCGGTGGCACAGGGAATGGAGAAAACCACATTTATCCTCTTTGCAGAAAAGAGCAAAAGAAATGGAATGGAAGTTTTAACATTTCAGTACTTAGGGACTAATTGCTTTCTTTAGTTACTATATTATGTGCATATGTGTTTTGGAGATAAAGACATTTTGTGGATTTACTTGAAACTCTAATAGTTGTTTTCGGCTGCATTTATCTGACAGTGTCTATCTGTGTCTTGGGAAATGTACATTGGTTGTTAAGAGCCAATGCTTATTAGCAAATGTTAGCATTTTCTAGAAAATATTTTCTAAAGGTGCTCTTCTCTAGTCAGTGTTCATGCTTTAACTTTAGCTCTCGCATATGTATCTGAGTGGCTACTCTCTTTTACTTGGAAATATATGTATATTGTATATATGTATATTTCTTTTCAGAATCTGTTGGAGCTATAAGCAGATTATCTGTAGCATGTTGCTATTTGTTGAATAAATAAATATTCAGCCCTTCTGTGAAAAACCTTTACCATTGACTTCTTTAAACCAGCAAATTATTTTTAAAACGCCATTGTTAGCAGCTTTTGCCCTAGCTCCATCTGCAGAGCTCTGACGGAGGCTGCCGACACCTCCTTGGGGACAGCCCTCGGGTTGCTGTTTGATTTGTGAAGCCTGCAGAGCAGGGTCCAGCCTGCTGCTTCCCATTCCTCACCTCCATCTCCATGGTGCTGCGTTCTGTTCCCACTCATTTACTTCCTTTAGTGTCGTAATACACAGCCACACCCCACGCTGTGATCGCATTAAAATGCGAATGATAATTCTCTTCGTGTATGTAGTGCCTTTCATCTCACACAGACACCAGCTCATTAAGCCATATAGCACTCTTACGGGGATGTGTCAAGTATCATTCTCCCATTTCTGGGGAGAGAGGTGAGGCACGGAGGCTTGGTCTGCGTTGCCTGAGCTCTTAGAAAGGGTCTGATGCAGAAGCCAAGCCCGTTTGCTTTGACTCTCGTTGAAGTTTCTTAGCTGGTATTTCAATTATATATAGTATAAATTCGCCGGGCTCTCTTCTCCATTTGCCAAAATGTAATTCCTGAGAGGTGGATTCTCTTACTGTTTCCTGAGGGCTGACTCCAGGTGCGGTGCTTGGTGCCATCTCCTAGAGACCCCAAGCGGCCGCTGCGTCCCTGCACTGCACCCCTTGGAGGTTCATAGGACCGCAGGCGCCCTCCCAGGTGCCTGGTGGGCAGCAAGCCCCAGCCATGAGCCCATTTGCTGGAAAGGAAAGCCTTCCTCTGTGATGAGCCTGTTCTGAAGTGAAGGGAGCTTTTAGGCTCTGGGCCATCTGTGCGCAAGAGGGTGGGATAATGGGGAGACACCCATCTCAGAGGCCAGGAGACCTGGGACTTGACAGTCTGGGGCTCCTCCTCTCTACTGAGAGGGGAGGACTCCATGCAGAGTCTCTAGGGGCAGTCATCATACTTCAGCAGACTTCTCGTTACCTCACTGAAGCGGCGAACTAGCAAGTAAAACTCTAGCAAAAGCCAGCATTTACTAAGCGCTTCATACCTGGTGGGGCTGTGTGTAATGCTCTGCTTCCTCAGCTGATTACATTCTCGCCTCAGTTCCTTGAGACAGAATGATTTCAGTGTCATGTCAGATTCACGGAGCATGCCCAGAGTCACAGGGCCAGTGAGTGGTGCCGTTGGGGTTTGAGCCCAGGTCTGTCTCAGCGACACAGCCTGCGAAACCCCTACATGTGCACATGCATTTATATTTTAAGCCTCGGTTTTGTATATTCTGCAGTACTTCACTGTCTTAGACTGGGCATTTTGGTAAACATTTTGTTTCCGGCTTGAGATCCTTCTGTTTTTGCTGCCCATGTGGATGCTTTTGGTCAATGTTGCTCAAACTGTTCTGTTACAATTGTTTGCTAACTCTTGGTCATAATTCTTTCCCGTTTCCCATTTGCAGGTCATTAAAACACCAATGACCAGCCAGAAGACGTTTGAATCTCTGATGGACTTCAGCAAAGCCCTGGGGAAGCACCCTGTTTCTTGCAAGGTAGAGTATGAGTAGCTTGGGAAGAGAGTGATTTTCCTGGGACCCTGACCTACCCCAGGTAGAATTCTCGCGTGGTAGAATGGTGTGAGAGATGGGGTGCTTGTACTGCAGGCCTGCCCACGGGCGGCGACAGCTGCGCCTCCTTTCTAGCCCGCCAGCCGGGGAGCCCAGGGCCGCCAGGGGAGACTGGGATCCCAGGGGGGCCCAGCTGACTGTTGATGAGCAGCAGTGTTTCCATAAATGGATTTTGTTACTCCGCCAGCTTTAGCTTCTGCTGGGCCGCAGGGAGCCGGAACCGCCCAGTGTGTCAGGCACAGCCTGGCGTACACATGCCTCCCTAACAAACACTAGGCTCTGCTGTTGGCGGGAGCGCCGTGCGTGCATGATTAGGAGACGACGAGCGCGGAGCAGCCGCCCCGCCCTAGTTCGCGTTGAGAGGGCTGTTTCTCTGTGGAATGTTGCATTGTGGTTTGTGTTGTGTTGTTTTCAGTGAGAAGTATGGTCAAATGGAGAGCATGCCTCGGCCTTTCCCCCTTTCTTAAGGTGTCCTCTGGTTAGATGTAGAACGGCCCCCTGCTGCCTGCCCACCGCTTCACTCGGGTTCCCTCAATCTCTCATTGGTTTAGCTCCTGCTTAGGTCTCCCCAAGTTTAGGGACCACACTTCTGCACGGCTCAGCAGTTTTTCTACAGAAGCAATTGTGTCACAAAACGCCATTACAAGTTTTTATAAATATCTCACCTGCTTTTTTGACCATAAGCTTTTGTATCATTGGGGTTCTTTTCATAGAACACTTTTGCTTTCTAAAAGGTTCTCAAGATGGAATCACAGTATTGTATTAACCCATGAAGACTTGTATGGTTCATGAATCATCTGAGTAAGTTGTCCGTTGATGTGGACCCAGGAGCCAAAGAAAGCAGACTAGTACGTGCCATTGCCCAGTCCAGGGTAGTGTTGTTAGGGAGTCTCATCATCTGAACACTCATTTGTTGTTTGTTTAGTTTGATGGTTTTAAATCATCTGGATTTTTAAAAAATCACATTACTAACCAGATGTGATGATTGCACTTTCTTACCAGTTTATGCTGTGTTAGTGGCAGATAGTAATAATATATTAGAAAGAACATCAGCGTGTAGCGAATCAAAAGCTGTGACAGTGAAGTGTGGGGACGAGCCAGTGAGCATCTTCAGTGGCGGAATGATTCGCTCATGGCGAGTAAGGAACTCTCTCCCCCTGGGGGAGCCACAGCAGACTCGGGGGTGGGAACTCTTTGGTCTCATCAGACTACCCTTCTTGTATCGTCCAGAACACTTTCTCTAGGCCTGACCTTAGTGCTCTCTGGGAGTCTTTCTGGGTCAGTTATTTGGGCTCTTGGTGAGGCACCCAGACAATATAAGGCAACACAAAGGACAGGGGTGTGCACACTTTTGTGTAAAGGGCAGCAGTGAATATTGTAGGGCACATGGTTTCTGCTGCAGAAACCATGCTTCTCAGTCCTGCTCGGCAGGAGAAAAGCAGCACAGACAACATGTGCTGAGAAGAGTGGCGCTGCATGCCAATAAAACTTTATTTAAAAAACAAGCTGGGGACAGGCTTCTGACTATAGGATTGTAGTAGTAATTACTAACAGCTGACAAAGAAGAATGGCATTAATGTGCCTGTAGTGTGTGTGTTTTCAGAGTGAGATTTCACAGGGAGAGGGTGGTGTAAAGCAGTTAAGGCCACGGACTCTCTCTAGCCTGACTGGACTTAAGTCTTGGCTCTGGCACTTACTAGCTGTGTAACCTTGGGCAAGTCACTTAACCTCTCTGTGCCCCAGTGTCCTCTACCTCACAAAGAGGTAATAATGGTACTTGTCTCACAGGGTTAACATGAGGAATAAATGAATTAATATTTGCAAAATACTTAGAACAGTACCAGGCATGTAGTAAGTACAGTAAAGTGTATTTGATAAGTTAATAAAAGAGCATGAACAATGTAAGCAATGTCTCTTTACAGTCCCCTAATATTTTGAGATTATTTGTGTCAGCATCCTCAGTAACACTGAATGTTTTAATGGGGGAGAAACTCTTTCCCAATAATCTTACTGAGAAAATGCTGTTTTGTTCCAATGAGCATTTCTTTGATTAGCAGTGTGTTTAAATATTTTGTGAATTTTAGCACTCTTTCCAGGCCCTTGACATACACAGTATTAACTCTATCTATGTAAAAACTGTATGCATTGTAGGTGGAGCAGGTATTTTGCCCAGGCTGTTCTCTGACTTCTGACTGTGTGTGTGGTGTGCGCTTCATGTACTGGGTACACTGTCATGAGTTTCTGCAGTAAACTTTGGAGATGAAAAGCATTTTTGCCCTGGTTATAAAATCAGCATTGTTTCATTACTATAATCTTGGTTAAACTGATAAAGGCCTTTGTGGGTCTCTGTATTCCTGGGAGACAGGTAGGAGATGGCCTCGGGGGGGGCACGAATCCTGTGGCTTTGCAGCCCAGGGCGCGCCATGTGCAGCCGGGGTCACTACGGGAGCAGCGCGGGGCGGCCACCTTTAACCCGATGTGACGGATGGCCTCCTGCGTGTGGGAAAGGGAACCCACGGCCAGGGCGAGGATTTCTGCCTGCAGGGAGATCACAGCCTTTTATTAAAAGAGGGGTGCCATTTACTTAATGGAATCAGCTTTACATAAATACCACCAAAAAAATTATAACCGCGGTCTGCCCCACGAGCCCTCAAGAGAGATCAGTGGGTGGATTCACACCCCACACTTGACGTGAAGAAGCATTTCCGTGTGGAGGGAAAGCATGGATGGCGTCATCCGGGCTGGTGGGTCCTAGGTGGCGTGTGTGAAAGGCCCCAGGTCCAACTCTCAGGGCATCCGCTCAGTTGTCCGGGAACCTGTTCCCAGCTTGACCGTCTCGCACTGTGTGTGGAAACTGCAGAAATGCCACCATTAGAGTGTAGGGCAATGCGCATAGCGAAGGTGGTTTCTGATGTTTCTTCACAGCTTGTCACATGGAAACACCCACCTCATAGATGATGAAACTGAATTTCAGGATGGTGCCAGGTCAGAGTGTTAGAATTTGAGCCCAGATCTGCCTGCCCCAAGGCTGTGCTCTCCTAATGACCCCCACCTTGATCTGCCTTTATTTCGGGATCTATGCGGTGGAGGCACCTGGGAAGGTGGAAGCAAGGCTGTGCTGCCATTTTAAGACAAGTTTTGAAAATGTATCGATAGCCCCATAAACGTGGGTAACGTAGCCCAGGATGAGAGGGGGCAACCTGGGGACTTCAGAAAAGGTAGAATTCACTGATCTTTTTATTTTTCTGTCTCCTAAAACAGGACACACCTGGGTTTATTGTGAACCGCCTGCTGGTGCCGTACCTCATGGAAGCAGTCCGGCTGTTGGAACGAGGTAGCTGTCCCGAGCCAGGCAGGAGCAGCAGGTCTGGGAGGCACCGCTCTCTGGGCGTCCTCGTGCGGGGGCTGCAGGAAGGGCGGGCCATGCAGGGCAGGGAAGGAGCTTCCGCGTCCTGGCCGTGTGGCTCGGCCTCGCCTGGGCCCTGCCACCTTTGCCGCTGTCTTCCAGGGGGGTCGCTGGGTTCCCAGTGAGGCCTCTGAGGTGAGGCCCTAGGACCCTCCACTGTAGTCCCAGCCAGAGCAGTTACATGGCCAGCTCGGATTTGTAGCCCAGACCTCTGCTTTTGGTTAAAAGGTTTATCACTTAAAATAATAGGAATAATGTAAAAATCACTGGACCAGATGACCTCCGATTTTCCTTAAGGTTCTAAAATTGAGACCACAAGATAGGAAGTAAGTAACAGGGCACATTCAGCCAAGGACCATGTCTAACAGCCCTGTTGGCCTTGGGGATGATGCCATGGTGCATGTTGTTGTTTTAACCTTGAGAAAGGTCAAAATGTTTCCTTAATATATGTGGATAGAAATGTAATACTTGGGACTGGGTCCAGATTACAGAATGTCCTGCATCCTCCTGCCTGCCTTCCCTACCACATTTGTGGAAAGGTAACTATCACATCCGCTTCAGAGGCAAACAGACCTTAATAGGACTGGATAAAAAACAAATGTAATTGTTTTCAATTACTTCACGAATGCTTGCTCCCGAGAATGTCATTTTTTGAAACAAAACGTTTATACCAGCTCTTCTGCAGAGATGAAAGCACATTTGCTTTCTCAAAATCTGCTTTAAATATTAAAACTTTTCTCTGTTTCATGGAAACATTTGCCTCACTTTTGCTCCGAGATCAAACCAACACTTTTGTGTTTATCTATCAGCAAATATGCCTAATTACACCTCAGCAAAAGCGGGAGGTGTTTTGCTCTACCTTGAAAGGCATGGTGGTGGTTTTATGTGATGTGTTAGAATATAGCATGTGGGTGATCCACCTCCTAGTGGTGTTTTTCTCACGGAAACATACTGTCACTTTGATACAAGATACACGTTGTAGCTGATGGTGAGTTGAAAGTCATCTTCTTGTCTCCATCCCCTCACTGACAGTGGTCCTTTTCTAAACAGAAGGACTCCTTTGACGCTTACCGTCACTAGTGGCCTGCAAGATGAAGCTGGAAGGGGGGTCTGACCCCAGGGGGGGGCTGCTCTTAGTTTGATTTGACGCTGCCCCCAGCACCCTGTCGTAGCTGTCCCTTTGCCTCTCTCCCCACAGCCTTCTTGGGGCCTTTGAGCCAGAGCATGTGCTTCTAGAGCAGCTGGGTGTCGGGGCTGGTGTGGGCGCGTCCTCCCAGCAAGCCTCCTTGTGGACTCCTGATGTCACACCTCTGGCTTCTTACCACGTCCCTGCTGCTGCCTCAAGGCTCTCCCTCCTCCAGCCAACACAGAGGTGTGTTTAGATGCACACCGGCCACCTCTTTTCCAGCTGTCGGCACCAAGTGGCTGGCTGGCCTTCATCCATTCGACTTTGAAACCTGAAGCCATTTCGGATCATTCTTCTCTTGCCTGTCACATGTCTGTTCATTTGTCACTTTTGATTCCTCCCTGTCACCCCAGTTCCCCCGTGCTAGTCAGCCTGCCTCAGTGAGGCCCCTTCAGGGAGCACGGGCGTTCACACCGCCTGCTGTCTTTCTCTAACTGGTCTCTGCTGCCCTGCCCGGGAGCATGCTGCCCCAAAGGGTGGGGAGACAGTGCCTTCTGTGTCTGCCCCCACGCAGCTGGGGGAGCCCTGGGGCGCACCGCAGAGTCGTACAGTGAAGTCAGTGATTCTCTGTAGCCCGGTCCTGTGTGAACTCATTTGAGGAGGACTGTGCAGCGCTGTCTTGGTCTCCCGGCTGCTGTAGCTAGACTAGTACAGACTGGGTGGCTTATAAATAACAAGTTTACTTCTCGCAGCTCTGAGATTAGCGTGAGGGGCCCTTTCCAGTTGTGGACTGCCAAGTCCTCGCTGTGTCCTCACGTGGAGATTGCAGAGAGGGGGAACAAGCTCTTAGAAGGGCTCTAATCCCATTCGTGGGAGCTCCACCCTCATGACCTCAGCTAATCCTAATCACCTCCCAAAGGCCCCACCTTTTTATATCATTGCATTGGGGGTTGGGTTTCAAGATCGGAGTTTGGGGGGGACACAGACGTTCAGCCCATGACATACGCTGCTGGGAGGCCTGTGGTGCGAGTGCTGCGAGCAGACGGGTTGGCAAAGGGCTGCCTGGAGCGGCGGGGGCTCGTCAGGTGGAGGGAGGGGTGAGCATCGCGGAGGGGCCGCCTCACCCGCTCAGGCATCCTGGGCCGCTGGGCTGCTTGCACAAAGTTCCCACAGGCCGTCACCCCCTCCCTGCCCCCGTGGTATCGCAAGCTCTGCCCCGCCCCCTCACCTCTGCCCTCTGGTGCTCTGTGCTTGGGGCACCTGCGCTGGACCTTCTTCCTCAGTGACCTTCAGCTCTGTCTTCTTCACTGTTCCTGTTTTCATCCATTCCTACTATAGTCACAGCCTGATTGGTGGGATCGGTCACCCTCATCCCTGTGGGTCAGAGCCCACGCTCCATCCCTTTGAACAGGCGGGTGCCCAGTAGCAGACAGCTGACCTCGTCGGATGCCACTCCGACAGATCACAGTCAGCTCTAGTGGGATGATGGGGCGACATGGTGAGCTCTTAGGCGACACCCTGACAGTGCCATGAGCCGTTCCCCCCTGTCGCTGTGATACCTGCTCGTGCTGTCCCTCCCCTGCTCAGGACTCTCAGTGGTTCTTCATCACCTGCTGAGTAGTGTGCGCCCGCAGGGGGCCTTCTTTCCTCAGCCTCTGCCCCACCTTCATCACCATGTACCTCACCGCCACCCGTCACGCGGTGCCCCGCTGGAGTGTCGTCAGGCCGCAGGCTGGACCTCTGTGTTGTTGACACTCTTTTCCCTGTGGCCAGTGTCTTCTGTGCTTTCTTCTCTGTAAGTATCCGGGTCTTGATCTTAATACCCCACAACGTGCTGGTATAGGACCGGCATTGAGGTTGCTGTTGCTGAACCAAGGAGTGGCGGTGGTGCAGAGGTTCCGGTCCTTGTTGCTGTGACCCTGGTGGTTGTCAATGCCAAGAATGGCCGGTAGGTGGCGCTGATGGGCCAGCAAAAGAACCGTGTTGGGGCAGGTCCCAGGTTCCCAGGCTGCAGAAGATCTGGGAGTTCACCGAAGAAGCTTTTCTTTGTTGTCTAGAGTTAAGGGCTCTTAACTGGGTAGGAAGATTCTTGAACGTCTTATGCTTGATGCAGAATTTTGCATGTATGTACATTTTCTTTGGAGAGGATGTCAGATTCTCAGTGACGCGCCTCACTATAAGGAAGGGTAGGAAGTGTTGGTCTAAAATGCGATTCCACCTTTAACTACTATGTGGCACACCAATCTGTATATGTGTTTTATTTATCTCTCTCTTCGTTTTGCCTCTTTTGCTCTGTATTACTCAGAGTAGAATTTTAGAGTTGTGCTGACTTTGTAAAGCCATTTGGTGTGTGTGTGTGTGTGTGTGTGTGTGTGTGTGTGTGTGATATGCTGTCTTCATGTTATTTTTTGGAATAGTTAAGTGAATCTCTGAATCTAGAATTACAGTCTTGCCTCCAGGATTCATTGCCTGGCCTTGAATATAGATTTGATTAAATGGCCTTAGGTAAGGTGGAACCATTATGTTATCAGATTTCTGTCCCCAGGGAGTCTATAGTCCCAACGAGGGGAGACAGCCCCTAGTAAATAACCATTGGATAACAGGTTAGGTTGTGGCCAGTAATCTCTGAAAAAGACAAAGGCAAGAGGATGGCAGGAGTCCTGGCCTAGAGTCCTGACAGTTGCTAGTTTTATATGCGTGGAGAGAGATGGTACTGTGAGCAGATGTCAGATGTCTGAGGACACTGGGCACCAGGCGCAGGGAACAGCAGGTGCTGAGCCAGAGGAATGTGCTAGGCTGTCATTCCAGCATTCCGGCCCTGACACCATAGACGCCTCGGGGTTTAATGAAATTCTGTGAGCAGAATCCACGTTGCCATTTTCTTTCTCATTCCCGCCTTTGTGCCTGCTGTTCCTCCTTCCTGGAATGCCCTTCCCTTGGGATTCTCTTCGGGACAGTCAGGACCTGGGCCTGGTGGTGGTTTTGGTAAAGTCATGATAGTGTGAACAAACCTCTCCATCCTTGCTCATAGAGCTGTGTGAATCTTCAGCACTTGTTAGGGGGAAATTTTTGGTTTATACCTCTGAGTGCTCCCACTACATCATGAGCACTCATACTGAGGGGTCATCTTGTTTTCCTTTGTCTCATTCTAAGTCTGGGTGCCTGGTACATAGCAGATTCGAATGCAAGTGGTGTGAATGGACAAGGACACCTGGTAAGGCTAGTGCATATGGTCATTGCTCTCTCTGCCTTCTTGTGACCTGAAACTCAAATCATGATTCTCGGGGTCTTCTGACTAATTAGTGGAGTACTAATAATGTCACCCTTATGAAATAATTGGTTGGTATTTTAATCCCCTTGGACTGCCTTGAAATCCTTTAGCACTATTTTAGTACTCAATAAGTCTTCATAGATGTTTAATAGTTCCTGTTTCTCGTGCCCCCAAGTTTGAAATATTTAGTATGAAACCTCTGAGTATTTTAGCATTTTGGTATAATAACCCTTTGTGCTTTGGAACAAAATTCTAGATATGCACTTACTATAGGCTTTTCCTGTCCCTGATTTTGGAAAAAGAGGACAGGTTGTTCTCTGTAAAGACCTCTTGTGGCCCAAGGACAATATGTCAAGGATAAAATTCCAAGGAGCATGCATGTTGGCCCTTGTCTTAGTCTTCTCAACACATTTTCCAACTTGCATGGCCATTCTAAATCAGGTTTGGGCTTTTCTTTGAACATATCTTGACTGAAGGGTTTATGTGAATGTGATTCTACAGGAATACTCATTACTTGTAAAACCGAGAAAGCTGGAATAGAAATATATATATAAAATAAATACAAAAACGTAAAACTTAGTTCTTTTCTTTTTTAAAAAAATAAGTCCCTTTATCAGTCAAAAAATTTGCTCTAGCTTTAAGTGGTATTTTAGTAAGTTATTCCAGAGTTAGAAAATTCCAAGCTATTAGAAAGTTACTAATGTTTCCAGGCCACTGGGGCTTTCTCTCTCCATGGACAGAATCCACCTCGCAGAGTAAGCTGGCGGAATAGCTTTGAAAATCTTGTGACCTGTTTGGCAAAATCTCACCCAAGCTAGAAATCCTGACCCTGAATATTTTTTGAATGCTCCAATATGTAAAACTCTAGTAATCCTGGAACTAACAGCCTGACAAGGAGGATTGTGGGAAAGATGGTGGTGACTCAGGGCCGCCCTCTTCTCCCCAGGTGACGCATCCAAGGAGGACATCGACACTGCTATGAAGCTGGGGGCTGGGTACCCCATGGGCCCATTTGAACTTCTGGATTACATTGGGCTGGATACTACGAAGTTCATCATGGACGGTAGGACTTGGGATTCTCTTTTGTCTTTCTCTGAGTGGAGGTTGTCTCTCTCATCTGTGACTTATAACGCCAACTTAAAATAGAAATTACAAGGGGTCTTAGCAGACTTTCCAAAGTCCTGCCCATACCAGCCTAAAGATTCAAGTGAACAGATGGTAGAAGGAAAAACGTGACTGTCTAGTGTCTCCTCACAGGGTACCTTTTTTATTTTTAACTTTTCATCTTGAAATAATTATAGATTCACAGGAAGTTTCAAGTATAAAACAGGTTCCTTTCACCCTTTTTCTCAGTATTGCCCAGTGGTCCCGTCTTACATACCACAGCACAATGTGAAGACCAGGAAATGGACGCCAATACGTTGCCTCGTTCCCTCACACGTTCTGATCAGTGTGACCTACCCTGTAATCAAGATATACAACCTTTTTTTTTTAATGTGTCCATTTTAGGCCCTGGCCAGGTGGCTTGGTTGGAGCATCCTCTTGGGTTCTGTCCCTGGTCAGGGCACTTAGAAGAATCAACCAATGAATACATACATACAAATGGAACAACAAATGGATGTCTCTCTCTCTCTCTCTCTCTCTCTCTCTCTCTCTCTCTCTCTCTCTCTCTCTCTCTTTCTCTCTCTCTCTCCCTCTCCCTCCCTCTTCTTCTCCCTCTCCCTCTCTCTAAAATCAATTTTTTTAAAAATGACCACTTTACTATAGAGGCTCTGAAGACAGGGTAAAAATGTTGAAACTGCACTACTGAAATTGAATGTAGCTCATACTACCAAGTTCCACAAAGAATACTTATGTGTTTGGAGGAGTGAGGAAGGTTGTACTTGGAGCATGACCTTTGGAATTTTAAGAGGATGTAAAATACCAGTGGCAGCACATTCAGATTTCTGACATGTTCTGAAAGTTGTTTGTGTCAGCCAGGGCTCCAGCCACAGATGAACTGGTGATTTCAGGAGGCTGTGGTGGGGCCAGTCTTCCGGCAGGTGGGGGGTGGGGGTGAGCAGCACACCTTCAGGGCCCCGGGGCCCGCACCAGCCTGGCCTTGCTCCGCCTCTGCCGTGGTGGCCCGACGGGCTTCCCCTCATCAAAGCAGGGACCCTTCCCCTCAGGCTCTGCCTCTAGACTTGTCCTGGGAATGCTGAGATGTAGAAATAAACCCCGTACTTCATCCTAAGCCCTCTTCCCTCCTCTCAATAGGCTGGCATGATATGGACACACAGAACCCCTTGTTTCAGCCCAGCCCGTCCGTGAATAAGCTGGTAGCAGAGAAGAAGCTTGGCAAGAAGACTGGAGAAGGATTTTACAAATACAAATGACAAGCGCAGATTCTCTGGCTCCAGGAAGAACCCAGTAAGCTCGTACCAGCAGCTGCCCCAAGTGCCCATGGGAATGCTCTTGGGTCAGACGTTCTCTTACACAGCACAATCTATTAGATGTGCATTTTGATCATAATCTATCTGACATAATTATTTACACATAGCAGAGTCCCCCATTAAGAATGAATTCCCTTTTTTAGTCTGTTCATTTCTGTGTGTTTTCTAAAAAGCTTTACACCCTTGGTGCCTTGGAGCAAACATTTCTTTGGAACCTCGTCATTTTCAGAACCCATTGCCTGAATCCGTTCACCTGTAGAGGGGAACGCACTTCCTCCGAGAGTGCGCTGGGTGCGTCACTGCCACGTGGCAGTTGTGGCTGTTGACGCGACCGTGGTGTGTCCGCAGTGCTGTCGGGAGGAGCATGGCATCGCACCTGTATGAGAATGTTTGCTGCCTGCAGCTTCAAGCCCTCCCCTGTGTTCTGGGTGTGATGTAGTGTCCTGTCTTTATTCAACTCTTCATCGCGATGCTGCTGCGGGGTGGGCGGGAATGTCTCCATGTGCTTGGATTGCAGGGAGAGAGGTTTCATGCACATCAGAAATCAGAATGATTATGGTCTGTCTTTTTTTTTTTTTCCCATGAGAAATCATTACTGCAAACTGCCTATAAATGGACTCCAATAAAATACAGTCTTTTAATCTGTGAAAATTTGAATTGAAATAAACATGTATAATTTAAAATGATAACATGATTAAATGGTTATAAAAGTAAAGCTTGGTAATTTAGGCAAGACTCTGCCCATCTTCTCGAGCGTGTTGCTGTTTTCTGAAGTGGCCGTGGCGAGGCGCTGGGGCAGGAGGTGTCCCGCCGCCCGACGGCGGGCGTCCTGCCAGGTGTTTTACCAGCACGGCAGTACCGAGGGCACCGAACACCATTTTTAAGGAACATCTGTTTCTTTGCCAACAAAGAGAATGTAACATAAGCTTCTTTTACTTTTAAACTGTCTTTTAAATTTTATTTTTCAATTACAGTTTACATTTAATATTGTGAAAGTTTCAGGTGCATAGCACAGCGGTTAGGCAGTCACATACTGCACAAAGTATTGCCAGTGCCCACCTGACACTGAACCTAGCTGGCACGGTATCGCGGACCGTAATCCCTATATGCCAGTTTACATCCCCATGCCAAGATTAACTGTTCATTTTTTAATCATTTTGATTTTTCTTTAAAATTTTTTCGCTGTATTTTTTTCCCATTACCATTTAGTCCCTGTGTACCCCCCTCCCCTCTGCGATCACCACACTGTTGTCCATGTCTGTGAGTCCTTTTTCCTTTTTCATAAGCTGCTTTTGACCATTGGCTTGCGAAAATGTCTTCCAAGATAGAATTTCGAAGCTGGAGAGACATCAGAAACCCTGAGATCCAGTGACCTCAACACAAAGAACCTAAGTTACGTGCCCAAGGTCACCAGAGATTTTGTAGCAGAGCTGGGATTAAAAACTAGGATCTGATGATAGAATTAAATACAACATAGCAAATTTGAGAATTTCAGATCCAGACTTGCAAACAGGACTGTCTCCAAAATGGGCATTCTTGTTTGGTGTCCTGGGTCATAAGTCTAATGGCTAAGAGGTGCCCCCTCACCCCCTACAGAAGGGAGCTTATTAATTTTTTTTTTTCTTGCATCTAACTATAGGATAATAGGAAAATAAATACGTAAGTACATTTCTACCACACACAGAACCTGGTTAGGTAGGAAACTTGTAGGTTATTCTTATAAAACATTTCCTAACGAAAAAAAGGAAGCACCTGCGATGCTACCGCCGTTTCCATTACTCGAGGTCACCCTCGTGGTCCCGCCGCCCGCTCGCTCTCGGGCTGGCTCTCGACCTCTGACGTGTGTTCTGGCCTTAGGAGGGGCCTCATTTCCTTCCCACTGACTGCAGTGCCCACAGGATGTGGGCCCTTGTTCTGAAAATGGCAGGGCCCTTTCTCGTCTGCTGAATTCCAGGGAAGAGAGAACTCAGCAGTGTGACCGCCAGCCTGCTGGGGTGTGAGGGTCGGGGTCACAGCACCCCTGGCTGAGGTTCTTAAATGAGCTTTTAGCCCACCAGCAAGGCGAAAAGCCTGGCCTCTGAATGTTCTTTTATCGTACTCAAAAAGTCTATGCATTGTGCTTAGGTCCGGGAAGACATTTTGAACATCCTCTATAAACACGTGGGTTGAGAGTGGCGTCCTGGGTAACCACCAGGTTTTAGGTCAAGAGGATGCTTTTCCTCCCTCTTCCCTTCACTCCCTTCTTAGTGATTATATTCCTATAGCAGAAATGAAAGTTTGAGATTGGAAGGAAAACCATGCAACTGATGGAATGGCTTGTTGAAAAAGACTGGGTGAGCCTCTGAGCATAGTCATCACCGAGGCCTCAGTCAGGCTGAGCAAGGCAGCGTTCTCTGAAGAGTAGTTTAATGCTTAGGGAGATGTCTTTGTAAATAAAATTGTGGACCTTTAATGTGCATAAGATTCACTAGTAATAACAGTTCCATGTGGGGAAACGGTTGACTGGCTTCTGTTGACATCAATTGTAAGTTATATTTCTGTTTAGGGGACTGCTAAGTGGCGCAGCATGGGCGCGAGGTGGGACCAGACCTTGGATCTGAAAAACTGGTATTAAATCAGGTGGTATTAAGTGATTCCCCACTGAGTGTTGTTATATAGAAAGTTTTCTGACTTGTTAACAAGTCAGCTTTTAGAAGCTCATTCCAGACCCAACCACTAAATCGACAGAACTGATGTATTTCATGGCATATACAACATGCTCTATGCTTTCTCCCTTGGTTTTCCAATGACACTTTTCACACATTTGAAACAAGCTTTTATCTTGTCCTACCTTAATTTTAATCCCTTTAACATTTCAACCTAAGTAACCAATTAAATCTACCAAAAATACGAGATATGACTATAATTTTGTGGGACTAATTTTTTTTGTAAATAGGCATTGATGTTACACAGGTAGTAGCAAAAAAACACTGTGAACAATGGAACATTGCTGTTTTCAACCCATTTGGTTGTATAAATTCTATTATTAAAAGCAGTCTCCGTATTTCATAATCACAGTTTTTATTTCTGTGGCAGAACAAGTTTTAACTCCCGAAAGACAAAAATCCCATAATTGCGACCAATTCAGTGTTTTATTTAAAATAACCAAATGTAGCTGTTGCAGAATTAACCAGAATAAATGATTAATATTATGGGCTTTGGAATTTAACAGACTTGGGTTCCAGGGCTCAGCCCCACTCTCTTTACCTGCGTAGCTTGTGGCAGGGGCGGATTTCCTGGACGTGTCTGGTAGAATGGGCGGGAGGGTGGCCCCTACCCCATAGGGCTGCTGAAGCCAACGAGACGGCGGGCAAGACGTGTTGAGCACACTGCGCCACATAATGCGCTAATGGAGTTGGCCTCTTCTTAGCCTGGTTTGGAAGGAAGCCGCAGCTCCCCTGATAGCCTCCTGCTTACAGAGATCCTGAGCATTTTACATTTGAGAGGAGTGAGCTGAAGATTGGGCACAGCCCAAGCATCTTGTAAAAGTCTCAGAAGTTAAGCTGTGGGTCCACCTGGGTCAAAGGTAAGTGCTGGAGCTCCGCAGCCCAGCCCACAGCTGCTCCGGAGGAGCTTCCCAAACTTCTGGGGAAGTGCCAGATGGGGGACTTGGGAGGGAAGAGCACACAGGAGACCATTCCAGTGAGCTGCAAGGGGTGGCTAGTGCTCTGGTAAGGTACGCTTTATGTATGGACAGTGGACTGGATGATTTAAGACCCCAGAAAAAAAGCAAACATATAGGAGAAAGTACCAAGGTTTTCCTAACGTTTGTGGTATTTAGTGAAATGGTGGTGGAATGGGAACAGAAGAAAACTTATGCTTTCACCCTGTCAGTGTAGTTTGTCCAGGCGAAGCCCCTTTGCGTGATGGGCTGATGATGCAGGCCTTCGTCACTGGAGAAGCTGGGGTGTCTGAACATGGTGCTCCGGGCCTCGGTGAGACACGCCAGCCTCCATACTGGGATATCCCACCCCAAAAAATGTAGTCAGTTTTTAGGCAAGCAGGTATTAGAAGGGAAAAACCTCCTCAATTAAGAACTCGCTCCTGCTACCTCATACACAGTCATCAGCTCCACCAGGTTTAGAAGACAGGAACTGGGACGTTTCCAAAACCAGTGCTGGGAGGAAGACGTGTTTGAACTAAGGGTTCTGCTTAGGGCAGTTTGAAGTATGGAACCCTTAAATGCCTCATCCTGGAGCCCTGTGGAGGTTTTGGCATATACTCCTGGGAAGGTAGGTTACCTGAGCTTGTTAGCCCCGATGTCCTAGTTTGAAAAGGGTGATGGTGCCACCGCGTCGATGTGCGGTGGGAGTGGTGGCAGCACTGTCTCGCCCTGCTGGGTCAGCTCTGTGGGCCGAGTCCGGGGCAGGGACGACTGCCAGCAGACTGCTGCCCAGGGGAGTGCGTGCTCGACTGGTGCCAGATGAAAAGATGGTGCTCGAGGGAGGGATGGGGCAAAGAGCTGGGTCTGCGCAGCTGGTAGAAACTCATGGTTCTCCACGCACATCCTGGTCCGAGACCAGCTGCCCTTTCAGCGTTTGGTTTCCTGTGGATTCTGCCAATGGCTGGCGTGGCATTCTTCACTCACAGGCCTACGGCAGTTATGAATGACAGACAATGTCTTGATTTTTCTGTTATCGACCCTTTCCGGTTAAGTCTCCTGGGTGTCGGGGGTTGCTTTTGCTAGGACAGAACTAGTTTATAGTGCCCTTTTACTAAAATCACAGCTCTGTCAAATGCTGGGAGGTCAGTGAGGGACAGCACAGCTCATTCATGGACCGGCAGTTTGCAGCCCCGGTCCCTCCCCAGTGACCACTCTGCACTCCAAGGTTTCTAATCGCAGCTTGAAATTCCCCATCCCTACTGTCCTGAAGGGGGCGGGGGATGTAGAGACTGAAGGGGCGAATAGAGACAGTCATCCTAAAGCCTCAGCATAAAAATTAGAGTAACAAACGATTACAGATTAAGAAAAATACTTATAAACACTTCAGTGTAGATGACCCAATACAATTCAAACTCTGCCCATTTTCTCTAAGGATTTCCTTGATCTTTGGTCCAGAACAGATTGGTTGGTCTTGGCTACCAGTTGCTTCCATGGACAGAAGAAATATGTTCATGTGCTCTATGGCTGCAGGCAATACAAAAATCGAATTTTTTTACACTGGGCAAAAAAAAAAAAAAAAAAATGTTTAGTAACAAATTACAAAACAGTTCAAGGAGAAATTCATTTATTAGTTATTTCCTATGTGCCAGGTGTCTGTCTTATGTACCACTCGCCGAACCTTTGTAGAGGTCAGTGATTTCTTCATTTAGTCCACAAGGAGGTGTGCTCGGAGGTGTCAGTGCACAGCGCCCACCAGTGGTGGGAGGGGGTGTTGTCCAGCTCTGTGTGACTCCAAACCTGGGCTTTCCCTGCTGCACCACCTCCTTCCTAACACAGAACCTGTTTTTTAAAGTCCAAATGACTATTCAGGAAAAGGATGCTTGCATGTTATAACAAATGCAGATGCTGAATAAACTTATCAACAGTGAAAACATTTTTCTAGTGTACAATTATTTTAGCATAGCCCATTGGCAGGTGCTCAGTAGCATGTACTGAATGAGGGTACCAATCATTTCTTTTATATCAGTGACTGGCCCACAACCCTGCTCAGTGGTAAACGTTAGCATTTTCTTCTCAAACGGGCAATTAAGTAAACAGCCAGTATTCACTTGAGTTCTTCAGGTTTTGCCACAAATTATTAATTCTATATTATCTAATATGTATAAAGTTCTAACTTAGGTTGATTCATGTGAGTAAATAGCCGCTCTTGCAACGCCCTTCTAGCCTCTCTCAGAGCCGCTGCTAGATAAGGAGGAGAATAATACAGGTTTTTCCATTAGAGAGGTGCAGAAGTTCAGCAACTTCCAAAATGGTATCCACTAACTGACAGCCAACAAAATCAATGACCTTGTTTTTCCCCTTATACCTATATAAGCAGCATTTTGAATCACAATTCTTGTATTAGTTTAAGATGCTTAATTGCAAACTACTCAGTTTCTGTTAAAGCAGTTCAAAATTTTTGGGTATGTCTGTACGTATCCCTGGAAGTTAGGGCAGCTCTTAAAAGTCTGTGTATAAAAGATGACACCCTGTGGCATGTGTAGTAGATGGAATTCGCACAACCAGCCCTGTCATGTGGAATTTTTCCCTTCTCTGTCACAGCCATGTGTTAACTCCCTTGTGACTTTTCTTCTTTAAGAGGAAAGCCACATGGATGTCTTGTTAGTGCTCATAGACCCCCATTAGAGGTTCCATATTGTTGCCCCCATAGACCAAAGTCTTGGGGGAACAACTATTGTGCTTAAGACAGCTGTAATCACAAAACTGCTCAGACTCCTTCCAGCTAAACAGGTAGTTCCAGCAACCCCAACCACCAAACTAAAACCGGGAGGAAACACCCCTTCTAAGGGCCAGTGTGCCAACCGTGACCCAGGAGAAAGGTTCGGTACCTCGAAAAAAGTGGGCTCACCCTCCTCCTCAGGGCCACTGTTCAGCTCTGGGCCTGTGGCAGGGAAGAGAGCCTCATCGCTCCAAGACGAGGGGCGCAGTGGCTGGGCCAGGGTCCCTCTGCCCAGACACCCAGGTGAGCTTCCCGTGGTGTCTACCTCTCGGGGGCTCTTGACTCTCCTTCCCCAGGACCACTGTCTATAGAAAGCCGTGACATTCAAGTCCTCTGGGAAAAGTTATTCTGAAAGCAGCATAAAAAATGAGATGAGTGAGTGTGAGAAAGGACTACTGATTGAGACAGGATGCGAACAACCCATTTCTTTGAACATTGTTTATTCGTTTTTTTGTGTGTCAAAAATGTGGGAGGAGGAAGAACCAAATGAAAAGACTCAAGTGGGCCTTGGGCAAGGCTTGAGTCTCAGCTTTATAGCCTTGCTGTTTACACAATGGAGAGACTTTTCTTATTAATGGGTTTCTTTCTAAGATGTGGAGGAGCCCATCAATATGTTGCAACCACCTTTTCCCCCCACCAAAAAGTAAAAAAATATCACCTCTTACATCGTTTTGTTGGATTTCCTAGTCAACTCTTGAAAAGAACACAGTGGGGGCTTCAGACAGTTTTAACCACTTGGTTCATGTACATTAAGGAAAAAAAAACCCTTCAGAGCCCTGGCAGATGTAGCTCAGTGGATTGAGCACTAGCCTGTGAACCAAAAGGTTGCTGGTTCAATTCCTCGTCAGGGCGCATGCCTGGGTTGTGGGCCAGGTCCCCAGTTGGGGGCTTGCCAGAGGCAACAGTCAATGTACTTCTCACATATCAATGTTTCTCTCCCTTCCTCCCTCCCCTCCAAAAGTAAATAATAAAATCTTTTTAAAAAATTGAGATAATTTTCAAATGAATATGAAACCTTTGTAACAAGTAGGTCCCCTGAACACAGAATAGACATTCTTCCCTGGTTCAAGTTTAGGACTAAATGAAGAGGAATTGGAGAGGTTCCAGAGGATAGTAATAAAAATGATTAAAGGACTGATGATGAAAGGTTCAAGGAATTGGGATTACTTAGCCTGGAGAAGAGAAATTTGAGGGGTGATTTAACGGCAATCTTCAAGTACAGTATGTGGAGGATTACAAGTATGGTAGCCAGCTGTTTCCCAGCTGTACTGAAGGTTGGAAAAAGGAGATAGAATTTCAGCAAGAGATTTAAGTTAGACCAGTAGTATGAATGGTGCTCGTGCTAGCTCAATGGATGGGAAACCATTGGTCAGTCTCATCTGAATCCTGGGGACACTCTTCTTCCCTTTGGTCCTGATTTCCATCTACACCTGGGATGAGGGGGTAGGGCCCACGCCACACAAGTGCCTTTGAGGAGAAAGTTGCACCTGCAGCACCTCAGACGGGCAAACCAGCTCTGGCCTGGCCCATCGGTTTAGTTCGCCATTACCAACTCCAGATTAGCAGGAACTTCACTCCTTCAAAATATTACACTTTAAAAAAATGTTTTATTACAAAGCTTCTTTTAAAAAATGCTCAGCACATTAACTCAAACTGGAATGACAAACGTTAGATGACAGTTTTGGGCAAAGGCTGTGCCTTGCTATTTAAAAAAAAAATGGGTACATCAATGATCATTTTAACAAGTGGCATAAAATTCCACTAACTGGCTAAGAAAAACAGATACAAATACAGAACATTTAAAGTAATAACAATTCAAGTGCTGGGCTTTTTACAAGAAGGGGTGAGAAGGAAAGAAATGAAAATTCACTGCAAACTGGTCTACTGAAAGTATCTGTAAAGGTTTACCCTTTAAAAAAAGAACAGAAGAAAAATAAAATGAAATAGTACTGCCAACTGCTACCAAGAGGGGATTTGGCTGTTAACATGTATTTAGCTCTATCGAACACCTTCGAAGACAGGCCACTATTTGTTACAAGTCATTCACAGAGAAGCCACTTGCTGGACAAGATGTTGCTCCAGAAAAAAGGCTTCTTTTCATTTTTATTTCAAACTTTCCCAGATCTTTGAATTTTATTTAAAAGCTCATAGCTAGCAAAATATACAAGAAAATTAAAACTAAAAAGTGTAAATTTTAAAAAAATTCAAGTTTAAAAAAAAGAAGCAAACGTAAGATCGATCCTTTTGCACTGTTAAATAAAAGCTTTAGGAGAAAGTAAGAGAAAGAAAAGTAAAGGCAGAAACAAAGAGGGAACTCTTCCACAGAGTGCCCCCTGGGACGCGGCGGGCGGCCGGCGGCAGGCTGCAGTTGCTCGTGGCGGCCCAGGCAGCCGAGTGACCGTCCTTGCCAGAAGCGTACAGGTATGGATGCAAGATGCTCTGGGAAGGGCGCAGCGGACGTGAGGGGAGGCGGCAAGCTGCTCAGCGGACCCAGGGCCTGCTAGCAAACTCATGTGCTTTTTAATTTTCTTTGAAAAAACCTTGAACGCTTTATTTTGGAACTTGGCTCTCGCAGTAGATGAAAGGGGTTTGGCAGTGATTGTCTTTATGGATCAGTGTCTCTAGCAGTGACCTCAGGGTGAAGTTGGTGTTGATTCTCAGTTGGGGTCGACTGGGCAAGCCGTGGAGACAGTCTGGGTTTCAACAAGCTTCCATCTCCAGAAGAGGTCCCGGGGCTGCTGCCTTGGCTTTGCACGTTGGGAATGAGCTTCGTTTTCCACCTCAGGAAGGAACACATGAAATGCTGTTAATGTGAATTTGCCATGGGCCTTTGAAAGATTTTAACTTCTACTGACTACAGTACATGACTTAAGTCTCTGCATTTAAGTAATCCATTTTGTCGATTTGGTGATGGCTAAAACAAACTGCCCCATGCTAGCCCCAAATCCCCAGACTACGTGAGAGAGAAGTCTATTTTATTGAAATGTTTATTTTGGTTCCATGAACGTGTCTATGTACATATAGGCTATGATGTGAAACAGATTTTTTTTTTTGGAAATACATTTAATACTTTGGATCATGGCCAAACATGAATTGTAATGGAGGGCAATGGCCAAATTGGGGAAACAGTTATCATGTAAAAGGTTTGGGTTTTTGAGTCCACTGTGGGAGTCCACTGTATGATTCTACGCCTTGGGAGTAAACGGTTCTCCAACCAGCCCAGGCACACAGCGCCCTTCGCAGGCCCTGCGGCCAGGATGTGCTCAGTTCATCGTGTTCAGTCCGAGGTGCACAGGCCTCTCCTATTTCACTGAAGATTTTACAATTCTCAAGATTTTTTCCTTCCTAATAACTAGGATCTCTAACGCTAGCCTTGGTATGTGCACTTGACAAGTATTTAAGTAATTGTTTAATATTGCTGGTGATAATGACTTCACAAAGGAAAATCCCCAAATCCCAAAATGAGCTAAGATTTTAATAAGCAATTAAAAATAAAATAAAACTTCAAAACAGGATGAGACAAAGATAAAAGGAAAGCGAAAGCATCCCAAAGTTTGGTCCCTTCACCGGGGAGAGCACCTGCCTCCCCTGCCCTGAATTTGGGGAGGCAGGTCCCCGACAATCTCAGGTGAATCCCAAACTTTTGTGTTTGTCCTTGTCACTAGCAGAGTTTTCTTTTAAAAATTAATTCTAATAGTGGACTTCTTTAGGTTTTTAAGTCAGTGGAAAAAGAGGAAAAACAGAAGGAAGAGCTGAAACAGTTTAATAAAAACTAAACTTCAGGAGGGCGTCATAGCTGCAAAATGCTATTCACGGAAGGGGCGAGCTCGGTGAGAGGGGAGCTGTGCGGGGAGGAGGGGCCCACACCTATGGGCAGCCCGGGGTGGGGGGGGGGGGGGGCGCGACCGCAGGGCGATGCGTCTGCTCCTGCTGCGGTGACCGCAGCGCTGCCAGTGCTGGCCCTCAAAATGACTCATCGAAACTGAACAAACCACCGGTGTATCTGGGTAGTTACCGAAAAAAATAACAAACAAAAAACAGAAGGAAATCGGCCACAGAATGCCGTCAACCGAGGAGGTCTTCAATGACGATTTCAATTCCTATCTCCTGCCAAGTTACCCTGTCCCTGTTTAACAGGAAAACCGCCACTGCAGCGTGGTGGCTTTCCGGATGCAGGCAGCGTACTGACCGCTCACCCAGGAGGGTCGGCGTGCCCAAGGGCCGTCCCTTTCCCAGGAGAAAGGAGCAGAGGCCAGGCAGAGGTGAGGGCACCGCAGTTCCTACAGGCGCTGTGGTGCCGAAGCGCGGATTTTCAAAGGTTTGCTCCAGGCTGCCGCTCCTGGCGAGGGATGGCCGCGCAGCCCTGCGCTAAGGGCTCCCAGCCGCTGAAGACAGGTGCTGGGGCTCAGAATGGATTGGCCAGCAGAAGCCAGGAACCTCTGCAGGCTGAAGGGACCAACTGTCCCTCTGCAGGGATCCGTCCCTAATCCCAACCGCAGTCTGACGCTCAGGTCATGTGGTCAAGACCCCCACAGTCCTGCCGTGGCCCCAGCCCTTGAGCAGGGCTTACCACCTGCCGGTCCCTAGCGCCCCGCGCCTGCGCGCCCAAGGCGTCCTTTCCCCTCCGACCTTACCCCAAAGCGCCTCCTCCTCCCTTTTTGGGCTGAGCACGTTACTAACATAATTATTAAAACAAACTTGGCTGTCCAGAGGAGGTATTTACCACAGAGATAATATGTACTTCCAGAAAGAATCTTGACATCTAATAAAGCCGTTTCTTTCTGAATAAAGCCAAGTTAGTTGCACATTTCCCCACTGTTATTTCATTATCTCAGTGCCGTCTTACAAATCCTCCTGCGAAGCTGGCTTCGGAACTCCTCTGTACAACTGTCAATCAAAAAGCAACTTGTCCCCACCGGATGCTTTCCTCTTAGTGGATCCAATATTTAAATAAATGGGCAAAGAAACCATCCTGCTCTCTGATAAGGCAGCCTGAACCTGGCGGATCCTATAAATACAAGGCTGTCGGGGCCGACCAAGTCTTAACTCCACACGGGACACATGGGGCCCGGACGGCGCTGCCTCACAGATATAAAGCTGGTCAGATCAAGAGTCTTTTCAAGAAACCACAGGCATGACGCTGGGAGACTGGAAACTTCCCACATCTAAGGCTTCACTGGGAGGCTGTGGCGAGGCTGGGCCAGGCCAGGCGAGCCCCAGCGCAGCCCAACCCACCAGTGAAGTCGGTGCAATCAAAGCCGCAATTACTGCTCCCGCTTCAAAGGGAGCCAGTTAAAGCTCAGGTTCCCTCCACCAGGAGTCACTACCGCTGGTGGGCCCTTTGCAGAACGGTTTGGGAGGAGGCACGAGTGACCCCCTCCCCCCAGCTGAAACCCATGATGCGCTCTCTCCTGGACCAAACTCCAATCTTGACAAAACATCCCACTAACAAAACGGACCCAGAAACCCAAATGGGCAGAATCATCCATTAGGAGCCCAAGGGAAAATCTGAAGATTTCCAGATGGACCTGTTTTGGGGAGATAAATAGCACTAACTCTGAGGCAGGAGAGCTTTCTAGGCGTTGAATCAAAAGAAGTGAAGAATGAGAAAGGGGGTAATTCCTGCTCCATCGGCTCTAACTGTAAGATTCTACTGGAAGTTGAGTGCTTTACCAGCCCATACCCTGGGGTGGGGGATTCCGCAGCCCAGACCCCTTCCCTGGGGCTGGCCTCTGACTTGGTGTAGCCAGTGGGGCGGGGGAGGTCAGCACTTCACAAACGACCCCCTCTTCAGCTCAGCCAGCCAGGCCGAGCTGGGGACAGCAGAGCTGTCTTGTAGGAATGTGGGAAGATCTGCCCCCCACCCCCTGCAGCTTGTGTCAGGTAATAGCACTCCCTTGTTCAGGAATGGTGAGGAACCCAAAAAGGTAGGCTAGAATCAAAGATCCTTCTTTATCTCCCACCCAAATGTACTAGCGAGGAACAGGAACTTAAATGTTTTCAAGTTATGACATGAAATTTTGAGGAGAGGTATCAGATATTAGTTTTATGAGAGGTGAACAGAGGCAGATTTTAATCACAAAGACTGCCTTCCAGCAGCTCGCTACACACCATGCCAGCTGCCTAAGTGTTTCAGCCTTGCTGCAGGGCGAGCCGCCCCACGCCTGTGCTTTCAGGGCATGAACTCTTCCCTTACACAACGTCACGGATGCAGGCGAGGAGAAGCGCGGGCTTCCCGAGCAGGAAGCGAGCATGACAGAGCTAGTCTGGCCGTCGTCTCAGAGGGCCTGAGGCAAGCGGTCTAGGGGACTGGTCCCTGGTAACCCCCGCAAGGGTACCCAGGCCTCCTGGTTCCATGTGGGTCACAGCCTTGTTGATTCCAAAGTGGCCTTGTCTGCAAGAAGCTGGTGAGGGGCAAGGAAAAGCAATGCCTGCTGAGCACTGGCATGCTGGGCATGGGGACAAGTTTCTTCACGTGCACAATGTCGCGTCATCATCGCCAAAGCGTCGCGTATCTCCGTCCATTTACAGATAAGGACGTTGGGACTGTGTGAGGTTAAACAGCTCGCCTGAGGTCACCCAACCAATAGGTGGCAGGATTAGCTTTTGAGCCCTTAATATATGTTCTCTCCACCACGCTTTTCTCCTCATTCTGCCAAAAAGAATAAAGTGGCTTTACTGAAGCTCACAGAGCACTTCAGCACAACCACCTCACTCATCTGGGTATCAGTCGGCCTGGCAGCTTCAGTTGTAAAGAACACAGCCGAGGAAAAAGAAAGTGACAAAGCCTCAAGCTCTCGCAGTACCATCAAGAAGTTCACTCCCCAAAATAGCACATCTTACCCTTCCTCATAAGAGCAACCTCCATGCGCCAGCTTGGGCCCCATTTACTATTAATTTTTATTTTATTTAAATAAGCTTTGTTTTCTCATTCCCAAATTCACGTGATGTCAGAAGGAACATATTGCTGTACAGAAGGGGTACAGTCTCAAACAGAAAAGGAATGCACAACATATTATAAAGAGCAGATTTTTAAAAAATCCAACATGACTTGGGGTCATTAAGAATAGTGGCAGAGAGCCAACCAAGATTTTGAGAGATTTGAAGAAAAAAAAAAAGAATAGTTGCCAACAGCACCAATTCCTTGTTCGCATGTACCACATGCCACATTATATGCACTGTGGGGTAATGACAGGCGGTATTAAGAAATATTTAATTTCAATGTATTCTCTGTTGAAGATAGAGTTACACCCAAAAGAGTAAAACATTACATGCTTTGTTAACTTAAATAAGAGGTAAACCTAGAGTTCTCTGGGAAACCCCATTATTCAGAAGGGCTCATTTTCTCTATAGTTCCAGATGGCTCAGTGAGAAAAACATTCAGTTACACAAAATATGTCCAAAATACGTTTTCAATTCTATCAACCATTCCTGTGCGTGGATCTTAATTCATTTTCATCATCAACAATCCTCAATATTACATGTCTCAAGAGGGTTTTGCCCTGGCTGGTATGGCTCAGTGGACTGACCGAGTGCCGGCCTGCAAACCAAAGGGTCGCTGGTTCAATTCCCAGCCAGGGCACATGCCTGGGTTGTGGGCCACATCCCCAGTAGGGGGCGTGAGAGAGGCAACCACACACTGATGCTTCTCTCCGTCTCTCTCTTCCCCTCTCTCTAAAAATAAATTAAAAATTTTTTTAAAAAGACGGATTTAATGAGCTTCATACTTCCCTCCCTCTCCTGTATTTTAATGACACATGATCACCTCTGATAGCCAGGG